AGGAAGCTGGAGAACCCGGAGAGAACCCACGCTGCACGGGGAGAACATGCAAACTCCACGCAGAAAGATTCCGGTGTCCCCACCGGGACGCGAACCGGCAACCTTCTTGCTGCGAGGCAACAGTGCTACTAACTGTGCCACCCTGCAGTCCACTGATTTTGTTCAAGTGAGACAAAAAATTATAGTTGTGCTATTAAAAAAACTGCCATTACATTCTGCAGTGCAAAAATAATAGACACAAATGTGATATTATGAAAGCACTGAGGTATGATAGTCAGAGTTCTGTGTGTCTGAAAACTTTCCCAGAGGTTTCTTTTCCAGAGCAAGTTTGTGTCACAGATTTAGTCCAAGCAGTCAGTCCCAACAACGTGCCGGCTGAGCAGCGATGGGTTGGGATGGAAGTCACATACCTGTGGGACTGAAACTGAACCCACAAATTGTTCAAATTCATTTCCCATTTAAAGTTTTTGTGTTCATACAAATGCAAATAGGACTCTATACACACACCCACATAGGGGCAGCCTGGGGGGTGGACGAGGATCAAGATGACCTTTAAAGGCTTGAGACAGATTCTGCTGCTTGAGAGTGGCTTTGTCCATGTTCAGCCTGTGTTCTCACAGCCTATTTAAACTGTAAACGGAATGACAAAGAAGGAACTCTTGTTGAATACCAGGGCTTCCACTTTGCTGCATTCCAAATGCAGATTTTGATGGGTTTGAAACTGATGGAAATACTCCATACTACAATACTATCACTTTTTGTCAGTATTTTGTGGATATATAAAGCCATAATAGATCAGCATCCACATACTATTCATTTCTACAACAGGTGTATGATGCTATTTTGGAAGGTGACACATTGTCAGGGCACCACTCAGTGGATTAACAGCTGCTGTTGGTTGCATAATGGTTAGCTAAATGTTGGCTAATAAGTTATTTGACGTGCCAGTGTACAAGCAGTGGGCACGCTGTTTACTATTCTCCATTTTCATTTCTGGGAGCGTTCAGTAGCTAACACAAGCTAACAGCTCGCAATAGCGCTTTTTTTTTAGATTCATATGACTCCTATTAGCTTTTCCCACTCCCTTTAGCACCTGTTAGCTCCAAAAAAACTCAAGTTAGCCTCTAATGGCTCCGAACACAAGATTTCTGGAGCTCACTGGAGTTAACTGGCACCAACGGGAGGTTTCTTTTGGTAAAATGAATTAACGGCAGCCATTCGTAGCTAACGGGGGCTATCTGGCGGTAACAGACGCTAAGTAAAGCTAACAGAAACAGCAGCAGCAGTGACACACTCCAAATTTCTGTTGAAAGTTTCGAGTTTTATTTAACCTTCTTTTTACCTGTACCTTCAATTGACACCAAAACCTCTTTGGCAAGACAGACCTAGCCAACGTAACAGCCCTTAAAACATACAAATTCAAAAGCTGAATCACTGAGAATCACTGATCTTGAAGAGAAGTAATACCACAACTTGAACACACTGCCTCACCCCTTTTCTTGATTAAGATTTTTGATTTGTATTGCTCATTGTTGAGCTATTTGTATACTGACAACACCCTTCTCAGTCTGTACACAGTCACCACATTCTATTGATCGGTTTGACGGGTTGGGTAGTGATTCATGTTGCAATACTTGGTATGCATTTTAGTAAGTACAATGTTGAAGGAACTGTATCTTCAACATAATTGAAATGCCTTCCAACTGAATGCCAATTATGAATTGGTCTGAACATTTACAACAGGATTAAATCAGCAGTTGAGAGATTGAGCCTTATTAGCATCACAGTGGCAGCGATAATTCCGCTCTAACATTTTGTTTACGTTAGATTAAGCTGAGATTTGTTTCCTCCTGAAACATTCATTGTTAAAACACAGACAACATAAATTAGACCAAATTTCGATGATTTTCTTTTGTAAAAGAAACAAAGTCTAATGTACATTATCATCAGGTGTCTAAGAATGATATACAATGAGCATGATTATTATATGTTTTTAAAATTCGCTAAATAAGTGGTACCCTCAGCTGCAGTAGTTATGATAAAAAGTACAATATTGCTTTATAAAATCTAGTGAGACGTAAAGAATGACATTTATTAAAATTGTACTATAAATTTGAATTTTTCCAAATGTTTTAGTGACGTCTTGAAGAGGAATATCTACAAAATGGACCTCATGAGGTTGTTTTTTCAGCTATTTTTTAAATGTGTGTTGTTAGTTTTTCTTTTTTCTTTCCAGGAAGGCGATGATGTTTAATACCACTCACATGTCTGTGTGGTAAATCTGGAGCTACAACATGCGGTCAGCTGCTTAGTTTTGCATATGAACTAAGAGCAGGGTGACACTGTTAAACTGCATATTACTTAACTCCTGCTTTATTTATTTTCACCAGCAAAGTCACAATAAAGCAGCATTGTTGCTGCTGGTACTAGCAGGCCCTCTCCTTTTAAAACAACACAGCATCTTCAATTCCAAATTGTGTCCAACTGTATATTTTATTAAGTTATTCAATCCTGCTGTCCTGGCATCCATTGTTAACATTCAGGTCTCTGTGGTATGAAAATCAGGGGCTAGATACAAAAAGCATGACAACCATGTCCGCCTTTATTGTTGTTAAATTTCAGTGTGGTATTGAGTGCTGACTGACTGCACACAAGGCAACAATGAGAGCAATAAAAGCAGAGCTGAAGCCCTGTAACTTGAGTGTCAGTGACTGATTAGCATGAACAGAAATCAGTGAGGCCTCAAATTTAGTAAACAGTTTGTAGGAATGCAGAGAATACATGAGCAAACCATGCAAATGATCCTTGAGCTACTAAACTTCTGCTGCTACTAAGACATTCACATTTAGACAAGCTTCTCCTCATTTTCATGCTGTGTTATGTAAAGTAAAATTACCAACAAATGGACTGTCAAGAAGTGAAACATCCAAATGAAAGCCAAATGAAAAGCGGGAGGGAAGTATCTGTGTGTGAGATAGTATTGTGTGTGTTTGCTCCTCGGTAAACCTGGTTAGTCCTGTTAACAAGGAGTGGTGTGTTGCTCTCTGGTACGTCTCTCTGTTTTGCACTCTCTAGTCAGGTTTCGGCTACCAAAAAGCCAAGAGTGAAGGAAAGACGTGTGTCCGTGCATGTGTGTTTATGTGTGGTTGTGTAAGCGTGTGTGTGTGTGTGTGTGTGTGTGTGTGTGTGTAAGGGGGTGCTAGGAGAGGCGGTCCTGATGCGGCCCAACCTGTTCTCCTGGCTGGCTAGAAGCTTTTTAGGCATTTAAGTGGCTGATCCATCCCATCCTGGATGACAGAGCAGCAGTGATACACTGAGGAGGAGACATCCGTCGCTGGGCTTTACTTAGGTGGAGGAGTCTCTGGCAGCAATACATGGTGAGTACATCAAATATGTAAGATGTGGTTTGTGTCCTTCTTTTGGTTCAAGTAGGATAACTCTTTGTTGTGTAAAACATTGGTAGTTATTGAGTTTATGAAATAGAAATCAAGTAATTGTGTTTGTGTAACAAGTGTTACACAGAACAGGAGGAGGTTTGCCACTTTGTGCTTCCCTACCATCAGTTATGCTGAAATGCTGGAGGGAAAAAAGTGGTTTTTAATTAGAATAATTTAATTTGACCTCAAATGTCTGACAGATTTGGTGTGAATTAATACTAAAGCCACATAAAGCTAAAGCTACATTCTTGAACCGATAGTTTTTTCCAAGTTCTTCAAACTGCTTTTTGATGCATTGCGGCCCAACTGCAAAGTCAAGATTTTTGGAAATGTGTCTTCGCCCGGAACAACAACAGATTAAAAATTAAAGCTAGAATACTGTAACCGTAGATGAAGCACATTACATTGCACGGTGCATTACACTTTATATTGAGCACTGTTCATTTGTGTTGCTGTCAATGTTTCTTGCTGTTGTCCCAACTATGGATATACCAAACTTTGCAGTCATCTGACTTACACACCCACCATTTTGCATTGTGTTGTTAGTGTTAGTGTTGCCACCCAGTTCTAGAGGATACTCCTATTAACTGTACTGCTATTATTTTCAAGAATCTCTTGCGACTTTCTTACCCGCCCTCTTTCTTTGAGTTGCCGTGAATTTCTGGTCCAGGGAAGTACACATACGTCTTTGGAAATCAAGGATGCTTGTGCAGAACAATGATATCAGCCTTTCCGAAAAGCAGTTAATATAAGAATCAAAGTTTTCTAATGTCGTGTATCTGCTGTCAGCAATTACTAATGAAATTACACATGGTATTTTTTGTGCTGGGACGTTACTAATGATCTTATAGAGCAGACTGCTGCATTAACACTGTGATTGGTGTTGACTGATGAGCTTCAGGTTTAAAGAAGATAACTTTTATCCCCCATTTTTGAGGACTTATTTTACAACCCAGCAAAGCCAGCTCCATCTTTATATGTGCAATTATGCTGCAAGTGTATCACTTTAACGTTTATATACAAAGATGTTAGGGTGTGGCCCAAGTGAGACTGTGTGTGGTTGTGTGTGTGCGTGTGTGTGTGTGTGTGTGCGTGCGTGTGTGTGTGTGTGTGTGTGTGTGTGTCAGAATGCATCCAAACCAGCTGGTTTAGATGCACACATTCCCCTGAACAAACCTGGCAGAGGTTTTGGATTCCTGAAGTGTGAGGTGATACAGCGTGTGGGCGTCGTTGTTTCTCTGTCAGTAAGGGTCAGAAAATTGAAGAGGTGTTAAAGGCAGTTGAAGAGCACTGAGCGGAGGAACTTACCCCCCATTGAGGGCTGCTGACTGCTGCCTGGAATGATTCCTAGAATCTGTAATGGAGATCAGCTCGCACTGTGTTCATCAGAGTTAAAAGGATCTTCAGTAATGCTGTTTGTTTTGTTGTCATCTTCTAGCTGAGGCATAAACTATCTGCCAACTTTCATACTGCACTGTATGCGTTTATTTGGGTTCAAACTGTGCCACAGATGTAGGGTACTCTGTACAGGTATATTGTAGGTTACATTAAACACAAAAGCAAGGCATAAATCAAATCAAATGGTAGCACATAAAATAGTTAAAAAGGTAATTTAAGAAATGCATGTATGTATGCATGTATGCCTAATTGATTAGGACCTATACACACAGAAACACACTTGTTTCTTGGCAGTAATTAGAGTTCAATCACAATGATTAACATCAAACCAAAAACCATAACCAATGGTTTGTTAATAGCATGAAAGCCATGTTTCTGGCTATATTCTTGGGGACAATTTCCATATCCAAGGAAAAGAGTGTTTTTATTAACATGATCTGATTCCCTTTGAATTAAAAAGAAAAAAAAAAAACATAGCAAAGATGTAAAAATTCTGCAGTGCCTCTCTACGCCTTCATTTTTCCTGACATATACTGTTACTGTCACTGATGTAAATGAACTCATCAACTAAGGTTGCCTTTCTCTGCTGTTACAGATAACCTTGCTGTGGTTTGGAGTTTTAATGATTTCTCGTATTATGGTCTAAGCTCCATGACATGTGGATGTAAATACACCTAAGAAATAATGGTAAGGATGACAAACCTGCACACAAAACAACAAATACATACTAAAAGGTAGACGAGAACAAATGGCATGGTGCAAATGTGTGAAAATGGTGCAAACCTGTCTAATTTTCTGTGTATTATAAACAGTTTCAAGTGAAGACCGGGGACAGCAGGAGTGCAAGCTTTTCAGAAAGCCTCATCCTCGATGACGCCGAGGAAGGAGTTGTCATCGCGGGAATCAAAGATGACACACTGGCTGCAAAAAGTGGCCTGCAAGCCGGTAAGTTATTATGTAACTGTGCTGCAGTTTAAAAATAACAAAAACAACAAGTACCCATAGATAAAGGATTTACGAAGGTTTCCTGCTTGTTCCAGGGGATGAGCTTGTTGCAGCCACGATACATCTAGACCACCTCAATAAAAATGAGGTAATGAACATCCTGAAGGTCCTTGAGCCATATAATGACAATATGAAGGTTGTGACTAAGAAGGACTTGACTGCCGGTGCTGGCCTCGGCTCCTTGGGCTTCGGGCTCAACAACTCTAAACAGGTAAGCATCACAGTTCCAGACATAGGTGAGCTGATATTAAAGGCAGGGGTTAACAAAATAAGAAAAGAAACATTTTAATGCAGAGTGTTTTGGTTGTATTGGACAAAGTTTTAAAATTTCTGCCTCTATCTCGCTCCAAATGAATGAGTGGGAAAAGAACAGAATTAAATTTTTTTCCCCCATAGATTTGATTCAATCGTCTTCAGCACAATTGTTATTTTAAAACAAATGAAACCATGAAAGCGTTATGTACATGCAAATCCGACTTGGATCTGCTCAGTTCAGCCAAATAGGAGCATGATAGTTGTGCTTATGAACAAATAGTACAAATAGAACAATTTAGTTAAAAGTGGATTTTAATTTTTTATAAAGAATATGTCTTCATTTAAAATTAGCTATAATCAAAATTAAACTAAACTGAGCGTATGAACCTAAAATGATGTGCATGACTATATACCACAGAAGGACAGTGAGAAAAGATGTTTTTTTGTTTTTTCAGTGAAGCGACACAATCAGATTGTTAATTAAAACACTCTAATGTATGCCTATAGATTAATAATCCAGTCAAAGTCACTCTTTACTGATATTTCAGCAGCAGTTTTTTCACGACTTACCTTTTTAAATGTTCTTATTACCAACAGATGCTCCTAGAGGAGGACCTGTCACTGGATCTTTCAGCTGGGAAACCAAACGCTTTCCTTGATGGCCTGAGTGGAAATCTAAATGCTGCACAGGGGTTGGGGGGTGAAATAAAGGGTCCCACTCTCAATGGAGACCTTCCCAGTCTCAGTGTAAATAAGCCCTCAGCTGATATCAAAACAGATCTAGGTGGAACCCTCAAAACACCTGATGTCAGTGTCTTATCGCCGCAAGTCAACACTCCCAGTGCCTCGCTTGATGTTGACAAACCAGAAATCAAGACAGGCACCTTGAAGTACAAGGCCCCTGGGTTCAAAATGCCACACTTCAATTTTCCTCCAGCGAAAAAACCAAAAGCAGACATAGATGTGTCTGGTGACGTAGATCTCCCTTCTGTCAGTGGTAATGTGGAGACGCCAAATGTTGAGTTGTCAGGTTTGGACCTAGATAGGCCAAAGTTAGACCTAAATGGTACTGGTAGAAAGTGGCACCTTAAAAAATGGAAAGGTCCCAAAATTAAAGGACCTGATGCCCATCTAAATGCTGACCTGCCAGCAGCTGATGTCAACCTCCCCCAAGCAAAGACTGATGTGGATCTTTGCACAGCAGATATTGATGTTAACTTGCCCAAAGCTGACATCAAAAGCCCTGATCTCGATGTTCAAACCCCAGAGCTTCACATTGATAGCCATAAATTCAACTGGCCTCACAAGAAATGGAAGAAGCCCAAATTTCAGGGGCCTAAAGCAGACTTTGATATGGATGCAGATGTAAACACACCTAATTTCAATCTCTCTGCTCCAAAGATTGAGGGTGACATTAATGCACCAAATGCTAAGGTGGATCTCCCCAAAGCTGATCTTGATGTAGATGCTCCAGATGTTAACATTGATCCTCCTTCAGGAATAAAAAACTGGTTCAATCTGAAGTTTAAAAGAAACAAACTTCATACCCCAAAAGCTGATGTGGACCTTGATGCTAATCTAAGCACACCAGATGTTGATCTTTCAGATCCAAAAATTGATGGTGGGATTAGCACATCTGACATTGATCTGAATTTACCCACAGCTGGTGTTGATGTTAAAACACCTAATGTAAGCACTGAAGGTCCATCTGGAAAGTTTAAATTCCTTTCTCTTAAAGGTTCAAAGAAGTCATTCTCAGGTCCTAAGGTCAGTGGGACAGATATTCATTTGGATTCAGATGTTTCAGCCTCAAAGATTGATGGTGAAATAAATGTGGAAGATGTCAATCTAAACTTACCAAAAGCAGAGCTGGAAGGAAATGATGTTGACATTGAAGGCTCCACTGGAAAATTCAAATGGCTCAAAATGCCCAAATTTGGTACACTAAAAGGTCCGAAAGCAGACATTGATGCTGACATGAAGGTACCAGATGTTGACCTCAAAGGGCCTGATGTGAGAGCGCAAGATGTGAACCTTGATGCTGGGATTGATGCTCCAGACCTCAATATCAGCACGCACAATGTTGATGTCAAAGGTCATGATATAGATGTTAATGGTCCACATCTTAACCTTGACCCACTTGATGTTAAGACAAAGTTACAGAAACTCAAATTGCCAAAAATCAGAGGGTCAAAAGTAAAGGGTCCTGAATTAGACGCTGATGTAACAGCAGACCTAAAAGCACCAGATTTATCCTTGTCGCCACCAAAAATTGAAGGCGGACT